TGTTGACTTTTTTTTTTGCAAGAAGAACACACTGTTGGCTCATTCAGCTTATAGCCCACAGTATCCCCAGGTCCCGCTGCAGTACTGCAACCCCACCAGTCATTCTCCAGTCTGTATTTCTGCATGCAGTTCGTCCCCAAGTGCGTGACTTTGCACTTGTCCTTCTTGAATTGCATCTGGTTGATAGCAGGTGTGTATTTTTTGTTTTTTTGTTGTTTTTCCCAGTCTATCTAGGTCATTCTGGATCCCAGCCCTACTATCCAGAGTGTCTGAAACTCCACCCAACGTGGTGTCACCTGCAAATTTCCTAAGCAGGCACTTTATATTATCATCCTAATCATTAATGAAGATATTAATACTGGACCCAGGACAGACCCTTGGGGAATCCCACTTGATACTTCCTCCTAACTAGACATTGAGCCATTGAGGACTACTTGTTGAGCATGATGATCCAACCAGTTATGTAACCACTTACAGTACTTTCATCTAGTCTGTATTTCCTGAGAGTGTTGATGAAAATGCTGTGGGAGACCAGTGTCAAAAGCCTTGTTAAAGTCAAGACTGTATCCCATCCAGTCCTGTTCCCACTATCCACACAGTCTGTCCCCCTGATAGAAGGCAGTCAGGTTGGTCAGGCATGACTTGGTAAACCCATTTTGACTGAAATGAGAGGATGGATGAAACGGGTCACCTTGGGGAAAGATTGTAAAAGAGGTTCTTCTGAGACAGTACTAGGAATCTACTGCATTCACCTGTGAGTGGGTTTGGAGTGTAGCAATAGAAGAGAAATATTATGGGGAATTGCCACAATGGGAGACTTTAATTTCCCAGAATCCTAGAAATATATGCCTGGAACAGGCTGCAAATCATCTAGTCCAGCCTCCTGCTCTGAGTCAGGATCAAGTCTGTCTAGATCATCCCTGACATGTTTGTCTAACCTGTCCAGTTTTTATAATCCTCCCAGGGTGACTTCACAGCCTCCTTGGTAATCTGGACTTGGATTGGATAACAAATGCTACTAATAATAGAAGTTATTTATTCTTAGGTGTGAAAACTAACAGATTTCTTCACCTAAGCATCGCCTCTTCTTGGTTCCATGTGTCTATTTTAGACTTGTGTTTGGTAAATTGCATGGACCATCTGGAAGAGAGCTGTAGGAAACCAGCCTGGGATCAGGGGTTTGCAAGCTGATCCCATTGGCATTAAACAAAAGCTTGTACAAAATTGGGTCTGTAAAGGCTTTTTGATTTCAAAGCAGTAGGGGCTCTGAGACATCAAGAGAGCCAGGTAGCGAGGTCAGCTGGACTGAAAAGTTTAAGGTCTTGGATATGGGTCTCCAACCTTTTTAAGTAGGAGGTCACCTTTGGCATTTAAAAGCAACCTGAAATCTACCATGTGCCGCTGCTGCCACCCCCCTCCCCACCCAGCAGGTAAGTCTGTGGGTAGGAAGTAGGGGTTGCAGATTGAGGCAGAGGGAGAAAAAGTATTTGGGGGCACACCCCCACAGCATCAATCTGCAAGGAATGGGAAAAGGGACTGATCAGCAAGGAATGCTACAGTGTGGATGTCAGGAATGCCTGTGCCCAGCAGATCTTTCCTCTCTGCAGTGGAGCATTGACCTGGTGACTTTTTGAGGTTCCTTCTACTTCTGTCACTGAGACTAGGCTCAAGATAAGCTCTTCAAGTTTTGCTTCCAAGTCGAGTAGAACAGACAGTTTATGTTCCACAATACGTAAAAAAACTGGCATGTGAAATAGCAGGGGATATACTATGTCCTTGGAGAAGAAAGAATGTAATATCTGTATTTTAGAGGGGAGGAATAATGGTCTAGCTACGGGCCCATTAGTTCTATCACAAAGGGATGCAAGTCTTTAAAAACACATTTGAAGAAAGCGTAATTGGAGGAAAGTGGGGCAAGATATCACACCAGGTTGCCAAAGGTAGATTGCGCAGCCTGAACTGATATCTGTCTTTCATGAGAACTGATTTTTCTAGACAGGAAATGCAGTAGATCTAAGCATCAGTAAAGCATATTCAGTACAGAGCCTGTGGGAAATGATTAGTTAACATGGAGAAGATTTGGATTATTAGAAAGACAAGAAACTGGCTAAAGGGAGATGATAATGGATTTTACTAAAGGAGCCATCATGCTGAAGGGAGCTTACTAGTGGAGTTCTAAAAGATTGATTTTAATGCTCATCTTAATATTTTTTCCCTAATTATTTAGCCAGTCATAGAATTGTGCTGATGTGATTTGCTGATGGTGCAGAACTGGGAGGTCTTGTTAGTACAGAGTAGGATTGGAATGCCATAAAGGAAGAATTGGGCAACCTCAAGGACTTAAGTAATAGAATAGGATGAAGTTTAGAAGTACAGAATGCCAGGGCATACTCTTGGGGGCCAGTCACTGTTCTGCTGTAAAGTTGGGGGTCCCATTAGTTGGAAATGACAGAGGAGGGTAGCAGATAGAGTATAAGGTGAAAGATACAAATGCTGTCTTGGTACAGAAGAGGGGAAGTGCTTCTACAAGAGAGATGTTAGCATTGTTGCCCACAGCTCTAAGACTTGATCTGGAACTCTGTGTGGTTGTGGTCATGCATGCTTGAGACCAGGAATGGAGAAGGGCTAGGAGGAGGGTCAGGGAAGGGAGAGAGCCCACTTTACAAGGGATTGCAAGAGTTTGGCCTGGCAGACAGATGCCTGAGGTGAGGAATGGCCACTGTCTATAAGAGCATCAGAGGGGTAAACACCAGGGAAGAACAAGAGCTCCTTCAGCTAACAGTTTTGTTCCAAAACTGCTATGTGCCAACTACCCATAAATGGATTTAGTCAGGAAGACTTCTAATCATGAGAGGGATCGCAATTCAGGAATTAATGGAGTTTTTTTTGCCGTTAGTCCTCCTGACTAGTTTTAAAATGATGAATTGAGGAGCTTGAGAAATTTATGAATGGGCCTGTTTATTGTGGTTGTCGGTGACAGCAATATCCATGCTAAACTAAAATCTAGGTCAGGAGATCTTGGAGTTTGTGTTAGTGTGAGGAGCTGTCTGTGCTTCATCCTCCAGCTTTGGGTCTGGAATGCTGAGCATTTAGGAAAGTGCGTGACTTGCCCCACAGAGGCTCATTAGTGTTGCTATGGCTTGATTGGGTTAGTGCCTACTATGGGCTGACCTAGAAAACCAAGAGCTGGTTAGAAAGTGGGGAAGCATCTTGCTAGAAATGTGCTGCATCCTGCTGAGATCATCCTGTGGGCATTGGGTACTGAATCTCTTGGTATGGTTGGCCTTCAGTACCCTGCCTGCCAACTGCTTAGCACTGGTGAGAGTCATGAGGCCTGGGGAGAGCACTTTCTCTTCTTGGGCTGGGTATCTGGCAGCAATTTCTGGGAAACCTGTTTGGGACAATCCCCTGCATCTGTCTATATGGTTATGCTAGGATCCCTACAGCCTAGGACTCTGGCCAGCAGCTGGTTTTACACGTCACCTGTCCCCATGACCTAAACATTTGGCAAGTTGCTAGGTATATAAGAGGGCTAGACCTGAGCAGAGCATGTCCCAGGCATGACAAGAGCAGAACTAATGCACTGGCTTTTCTCTTGCAGGAGGCGGTGGCAGGAGCTGCAGTCCTTGGCTCTTTGGCAACTCCTGGGTTGGTGTCACCAGCTCTGACCCTGGCTCAGCCTTTGGGTGCGCTGCCACAGGCTGTGATGGCCGCCCAAGCACCAGGAGTCATTACAGGTGCGTCTGCTCTTTATTCTGTCTCGTCTCTAGCAGCCCCAGCAGCAATCCCCACAGCTGGTTTTGCTGATGAAGGCAGTGAGGCAGCTCCGTTTCCTCCTAGCAGGCCTGTCCATGAGTGTATGATATGGGTTGTAGGGGTTCTGAGCTATGGGGTGGGCAGGAGTGCACAGCACACTTGAGTGTAAACATCAGGGGAATCATTTATTGCATGCAAAATTGGCACCAGCCCACCCTTTGGATAAACAAACACCCAGTGTGCCCATGGCACGTGGTAGCAGCATTGCCTTGTGCTGGCTCAAGTTGCTGTCTGAGCTTTTCCATTTGTTCCTGGTGCAGAGTAACCAGATTGGTCTGTTAATTTCACCTGCCTGTTTGCTGCTGGCTGGCTTCTTTCCAGCTGGGCTGAGTGCTGGTCCTCAGGGCAAACTCCCCTCACCTCCATGCTTCAGTCTGTGTGTTCCCCTGCAGGTGTGACTCCCGCTCGGCCTCCCATTCCAGTCACCATTCCACAGGTGGGCGTAGTGAATCCTATCCTGGCAAGTCCCCCAGCACTGGGCCTGATGGAGGTCAAGAAGGAGAAGGAGGAGGAGGAGGTCTTCCAGGAGTCAGAGAGGCCAGAGATGCTGAGTGAACAAGAGCACATGAGCATATCAGGCAGCAGTGCCCGCCACATGGTGATGCAGAAACTGCTTCGCAAGCAGGAGGTAAGCATGGCTCCATCTGCCTAGCCTGCCCTGGATTTGCAGGGAAGCCATGCCAAGCACTGCCTTGGATCTGCCTTAGTTTTTTTCAGCTGAGCAGTAAGATGTGCTACAAGTTCACAAATGGCATATCCCTGTGGCACTTCATGGGGGCAGTGCTGGAATGTGCATGGCAAGTCCCCCCTGGTAGGTGCATTGCCTTATGCAGGCATCAGACGTTCCCTCTCTGCCTTTGGGAGACTGCCAAGCCTAAGTGAGGACTTCGTAGCAGAGGGCTGCTGTGCAGCTGTTCGAAGGAAAGCACTGATGGGTTGGGGGACATCATCATTGTGGCTCTCCTCATGCTTCGTTGCCATGGTGAAGCAGATAAAAGGACATAATCCTTACCTAATCATTTTGAATCCTCCCACCGTACCACTTGCCATAGTACTTAATTCCTACGGGGAGGATAGCAGGAATGGATGAGGTTATGCAGCTGTTCAATATTCATAGGGGGGTTTTTTAAGGCCAGAAGGGGTTGGCAAGGTGGCCTTGTCTGGCCTTCTGCTTATTGCAGGCCAGAGACTCCCCCAGCCATTTCTCAGATACTGAACTGACAGGCTCAAGCCTGAGCTCTAATATTGAGCATGTGTCATCTTGGGCCGAACACATCATTTCTTCCTGTTTACTCCTTAGCAAAATGGGGGTAATTGTGACACGTCTCATGAGACTGGAAGAAGGCCAATGTGGGTGCCTATCTTCAAGAAAGGGAGAAAAGTGGATCCAGCAAACTACAGGCCCATCAGCCTGACCTCTATCCCGGGGAAGGTCTTAGAAAAGTTTGT